TCTTTCCGTCCATCTGTCGTAGCATTTTTACCTTGATGGAAACAGCAACTGTATATATATATCGTGATTCAAAATTGGCTTAATGGCTAAATAGCTATAATGATGTTTTTTTTATATTCAATCTTTATCAATATTTATGTTTTTTCTGGTGTTTTGCATCGACCATAACAATACATGTAAAGTGATCCCTCGGAAGCATTTATCACAACAAAATTACATGAAAATTGCAGACACAGTTTGATTAAGTCTGTATATGAGGGATAATGAAAAAGTGCAACATCCCTCACGCCCCTAGCAACGGCTTGCGTGGTACTCTATTCTCAACTGGTATCAATGACCCCGAAGGATCAGAACAATATAACAAAACTGAAGTGAAGTACGGGGCAAATTTTACAGCTGCCACACTGCACTTGACACCTACTGTTGTACAGAATAAAAATCTGGAAAGAAAGTGATCCCTCGGAAGCATTAATCATAACAAAATAACATGAAAATTGCATACTCGGATCGATTGAGTCTATACATGAGGGATAAACACTTACCTCTATCAGAAAAATCCTAAATCGCGTATTCAGAAGACATAATTCCTTCATGCTTTCGTATTTGGTAGTGTGCTAGCTAACTTCCCTGGTTTAATGTTTTAGAAGTAGACCCCATTTTGAGACAGTAATTTGCAACTATATTTGGGTATGAAGGTTTTTCAATGTAATAAAATAAAGAACACTTATTTGTCCGAACGATTTAACATGTTGTGAATGAATAATTCATTTTGTAATATAATGTCTTAAATTTTACGTAGTTCTGTATCATCCATCATGATTTTTTAACAGCTATATTTCTGTCCGTTAGAAAACTAATAAAAGTTCAGTTTATCTAATTGCATTTTGTCTCTTAATTTTATAGGTACATTATGAAAGGACAATTATGTTGCAGCTTTTTGAGACCTACTAGAATAGTATATATTCCGCGTATTTATCTATGGTTTTATTTGTTAAAACCTTTCAAGCGTAATCATATAACATAAGCTTAATACATGTAATATGTTAAGCTATTTTCATTTAGATCTATATTGCGTAATTTTATGAACTGTAAAAGGATTTATATCGGTGTTTTCAAGTTTGTTTTATGTTTTTTAATGTTTCGAATTTGCGGTTTCATCATCTGGCGGAAACATCACAAACTGCTGATATCTAACCTAAAAACCGAGTAACCAATCATAAACATCAATCGATATCTTGTCAACCAAACTTTTCAGTGATTAACAATAATTTTATTACAATAGACAATTTTGGGTACATGACAGTAACATAGAATTATCCTAATCATTTCCTCTGAACATTTTCTTATAGGACAAAACCAAGTTACATCAATTGATGCGGAATAAATGTTGTTTTCATTAAATGAAAGAAAACACTTACTTACGATGCAGAGTGTTAATGTTCTGGGTGATTCTGTATCATGATTCTTTAGTGAAGAAATAAGCGAGTGCATATGACTACTTTAACTACGTCCGTACTTGCCAAACTCCTCGCTTCGTTTATGTCACACTTCGGTCAAGCAAACCGCTATAATTATAGTTTGTAGAGCCTTGTCATTCTGCATGTCTGCATGTCTATCCGTCTTACAAACTCTTTATTCACACATCAATTTAAAAGCAGCATGTTTCTAAACTCATGCTAATTTTCATGAACATTTTGAAAATGTATTCAAAGGTAAAATAAATTGTAAACTGAACAAAGAAAGTTATTTATACATTGTAAACGGCACTGACAAACCATCTGTATTGATAAATGATTTAAATATGCACAAGAGCAATCAGTGATCACATGTGTCGCCTCATGATGGCCAATTTCATGTTGGGATAAATTTTGTGACAGACGGACAGACAGACGGACAGTGCACAACTAGACTTGGTACTGATCATTCCTGTAAAGTTTGGATAAAATTGCACCAGTAGTTTATGAGGAGTAGTCCGGACAAGCTTTTGCGTATCTGGCAACACACAGAAAAATACACCTTTTTATCAAAGGGCCATAACTCAACCAAAAATCATTCAACCGGAAAACCCGTGCAATATGCGCAAGGACTTGAGCTACAGATCAATCCTGTAAAGTTTCATTGAAATTGCATTAGTGGTATAAAAGAAGTAGTCTGGACAAACTTTAAAAATAAAAAATTATTAAAGGGCCATAACTCTGACAAAAATCATTGAACCGGAAAATGCTGACAATGTGCACAACTAGACTTAGTACTGATAATTCCTGTAAAGTTAAGATAAAATTGCACCAGTAGTTTATGAGGAGTAGTCCGGACAAGCTTTTGTGTATCTGGCAACACACAGAAAAAACACCTTTGCCAAAAATCATTCAACCGGAAAACCCGTGCAATATGCGCAAGGACATGAGCTACAGATCAATCCTGTAAAGTTTCATTGAAATTGCATTAGTGGTATAAGAGAAGTAGTCCGGAAAAACTTTAAAATTAAAAATTATTAAACTTAAGGGCCATAACTCTGTCAAAAATAATTGAACCGGTAAATGCTGACAATATGCACAATGTCATGTTGGGATAAATTTTGTGACAGACGGACAGACAGACGGACAGTGCACAACTAGACTTGGTACTGATCATTCCTGTAAAGTTTGGATGAAATTGCACCATTAGTTTATGAGGAGTAGTCCGGACAAGTTTTGTGACGGACGGACGGAAAGACAGACAGACAGACAGACGGACAGACAGACGACGGAAAAGTGATCCCTATATGTCACCACTACCCGTAGAGGCGACACAAAAAATAACACTCACTGCGTAAGTGACCAATAGAAATATTGTGATAAATTATGCAAAATCAGTTATAAATCGCACATAATATGTACATTGTCAATTGAATATTGAACTTCCTTTACTTTTCTTAAAATCTTAATTAGTATATTTTCTCAAGTTTGATTTAAAAAACCAAGGGCCCGTAAGGCAGCTTTAATTAAGCCGTAGAAAATTTTACAGCATGTTTTATAATGTGTTATTAAAGGGATACACAGGCAAATGTTCATTTCTTTTTTTTTAATTTTTCATACATTATTCTGTAAATGTCCTCAAAAAAGATACACTGGGCGGTCACAGGAATGAAACTTTTCTCCTCATAAATAATAAAGTGGTGATCTCCTTACTTGACCCATGTGGACCAGGCTAAAGCATAAAGATTTCACAATAGTTGTCACAGCAAACTCTGGAAACGTTACAGAGCATGTTAAATGGATGACTTATACTTGTTTCAATCAAACAATATCCACAATATCTATTATTGTAACTTCCAGGCTTTGCTCAAGTCACATGACTTGTTTTAAAACTACTCTGTGATTCTGTCGGTGCCTAGATTTGGTTCAACATATATTGATGTATTAACACTTTAAACCAAACATATATAGAATTTATACAGACATTCATGCTGAGACTTTAAAAAATGTCATTATAGCTTGATTTGAATACATAAAATAATTTTCATATTTTTGTCACTAATTTATCTGAGTATCCCTTTAACGTTCGCTGCTTATCATCGCATTTTTTTTTTGAAATCCACTACTTTACATAGAATATTTTTAACTAAAGTTTTGACAATTTTGTAACATATTTTTTATTTATTTCTTGCAGAAAACCTCGGGTTAAACTGCATCTTTTTAGTTATTATAATTATGCAAATTCATACTGATACTGCTTAGTTAGATGTTAAATGATGAAAGTATAAATATATAAAACTTTTATTATGTTTTGTATGCATTTCCCTTATTTCATTAAATCAATTTTTATTTCAACGTGGAGTCATCACTGCAAAAGAGACAATCTTGATATTTACAAACGATATAAAAACGATATAAAAACGACGGTAACAAAATGAAATTGTATGAATTACAATATAATCATTACGCAGCTAGGGGTGACGCTGTTAAGGTAGGCCTACAGTCATTTTCCGTGAAATATAGTTTTCTCATCGTTTTTTATTTCAAAACGGATTGAAAAATATATATCAATCAATATCTACCCTACCTTACCTGTTTGAAACAGTTGCTCCAAAACACATATTTGTCTGCATACTTTTTTGCTTACATAGAATTTAAGTCGTACACTGACTGCATTTTATTGATATAATCTTTTTACCCAAATGATTTTGTAATATACTCTTTATTGTAAGTAAGTAATCCAACAAAATTGACATTATCTCAATCGACATCATTATTATTATGTGCGTTAAATCTTACATGCGACTAAAATTGTTATTTAAAGGCATGCGAAAATTTTTTAATACCATTAACATATGAGAAAAACTCATTGGTTTTTAACATCATTTTTTAGTTTTAAATTGGCGTTAACGTTAAGACGTAATGATGTACGTTATTTTAATCCGTCATGTTCGATGATTACCTAAATCTATGCATCAATTCTATCATTATTTGTACTGATCCATTGTAAGCGACTGTTAAAGATATATACTAATACTTTGCTCAAATATGATACTAAAATATTGATTGTTTATACATAGTCTCTTTGTTAATATAAAATGAATATGTTTTAACTTCGCACAACACACATATGTTATCTTTATCTTTAAGATATAGTTTGTTATTCTATTATTTAAATTAGATATAGTTTGTTATTCTATTATTTAAATAAGATATATTCAGTACGAATTTCATAGATCTCAACAAATTTCTGTGAAAAAATATTTTACTAAATGATGAGCACAGTATATATTTTAACACTAAAAGCTTAAAAATATGTGTCATATGTTGCGGTTCGGATCGGAATATCCGTCCCGAGGTGACCCGTCCATTGGGCGCTAACGAGGCTTGCCAAATTCCAAATTCCCCCAAAAGCTGAAGCTAAATTTGGTTTGAATAAGGATGTTGTAATGATTTCCTAAGTCAATATCACGTGTCCGAATTTTTATTTCAATAAAATAGTTTGGCAGAGTTCATATCAAATTATTTCTCCAAGGATTATCAACGTCATTTTACACCAAATCGCAACGGTTTAAGTATATTTTCGGGAAGAAATGGGAACAATATGTCTAAGATAGGACACATAAGCCGACTGTCGATGGTCGACGCTTTTGTATACCCCGTTAAAAAGCTGGCCAATAAAGAAACAAAGACGCATATTATCATTCCAAGTCCCGTGTACCACTGGTAAGACATTCGGTAAAAGTCGTAAAGAATTGGTTCCTCTGTTATTGTAGAAGAACCGGTTACAATTGGTGCCAAAGTTGTTACTGGCGGATACTTGTCTATCGTCGTCCAGTTACACGCCAATGTGTATGTCGGCAGAGGTTTATATCCGGATGGCTTCTCAATCAAGGCGCCAAGTCCTAACCAGCACATAAAGGCTAAAGATGCAAGAAAGCCAATGGGTGCACCATATTTGTTTGTCCATGGGAATATCATTCCGGCGACGAAGAGACCAAAGATTGGTCCAGCGGTGATAGAGTACATACTGTATGAGAACTGGAGGATCAAACCGGAGAATCTAGAAATCAGTACGGCTACACCGAACTGTATAACTCCAATAACAACAACTAGTGCTTTAGACATAAAAATGCCATGTTTCTTCACAACAGATCCGCAACAAAATGGTTTGATGAAATCTTCCATCAGAACGGCTGACATGGCATTGAGACCTGATGAGATAGTACTTAATCCTCCACTAAAGACACAGGCTATGAACACCCCTGAAAGCCCCGGTACCGTCCCCAATGTGTCTAATACAAACAACGGTAGTAGTTGGTCAATTTTGTTTACAATTCCAAACTTCACTGGGTGGCATTGGCTGTAAAATGCAAACATAACCACGCCTATTAACACGGTCAATGTCACAATCAAAACAAGTCCTGGAAAATTCAACCACATAGCTACCTGAGCACGTCGAAGAGTGGGAAGAGAACACGCTCTCTGGATTTGCGCTTGATTAATACCGTAAAGGTACAACCAGAAAAACGATCCGCCAATTGCTACAGTCCACACACTGTGTCTTGTTTTCGGGTCAAATGAGAAATCATCAAATTTTAGTCGCCCATGATCGTTAGCAATGTCCCATGCGTTGGAGAATCCCCCGGTAGCCTTTGTTCCTTCAATAAGAACTACAAGAAGCCCAGCTAGCATTATACTAAATTGAAGACTGTCAGTCCAAAGCACGGTTTTCAAACCGCCAAGTGTTGTATACAACGTGCACACGGCCGCTGTGCCAATCATGCAACCCCATAATGAGACTCCGGTCACAGCTTCGAATGCTAACGATGGTGCGTACAGTACGAATCCCATATAGACCACAGTTTGTATCAGGAACAAGATAGAAGCAATTGTTCGGGTAACTTTTCCAAATCTCATCTCTAAGTATTGGAAACAGCTGGTTGTGTTCAGCCTGTAGAAAACTGGTAAGAAGATATGTGCAGCACCGGCAGTTGCTATGAGCATGGCGACAGTAATCCAGTAAAACATAGTTCCATTCGTATAGATTTCCGAAGGCGTCCCTAAGAGCATTAACGCGGATAGAAATGTCGCTGATAGCGACAAGCTTACTGGAATAGGGTGCATCTTTCTACCTCCAAGATGAAAATCTTCTGTCTTTTTCTTGTTTCTATCCTTATATGCATGGTAAAATCCTATAGCGGCAGAAAAACAAAACATCAAAGAAAACAGAACATAATCAAGAGAGCCAAATGTGCGTTTCTGTCCAGTCTCAATGCTATATCCGTCAGCCATTCTTCTTTTTCTTTCGTTACAGTTTTTCTATATAATGTTATTTCCTTTTTAAATGAAAATACATTTCAACGAAGCAAATATGCGTATATTATTGAATAGATTGCGGTGCGCGTTTAAGCGTTGAGAGCCCAATGAAGAAAATCGTACACTGGAAACACTTTTGGTCTTTATATGTCTATTTTTTTTGTTGTATGCTTACTTTTAAACCCGAATTAACTGATGTATGTTAATTTGTTGAATTCGTGCGAGTCCATTTTTTTAAAAACTTATTACAGTATAACGATATTGCTTACTGTAGTGTGTCATGTTGATCTGAATTTTTGGCGTCTCCTGTCAATTGATAAATAGTTTTGACAAAAGACGGTCATCGTTTTTTTTCCGGTCAGAGACGTTAAAACTAAACACATTTTTCACTATATTAAATGAACTAACTTACTCGTCAATATAGTAAAACATTTGCTTTGTCTGCAATGAAAAACCAAAACCAAAACATCAAAACAAATACAACAGTCACGGATACTTACCTTTGCGGAACTTGTTACAATCAAGGTTAAGGCTAATGTAGAATGTTTTTGCTTATATTGGTCATCTCCGTCACATACGAATCAACACGAAAATGCGGGCATCTCTACGAAATATCCAACATTTAAGACGGATTCGTTAGCTAAACACAGATATAATCCCGTTGTATGCCCCATGCTATATTTGTATAATCTTGAGAGCTATAACATATACATTTAAAGGCCCATTATGCTCCAGAAATGACTTTTGATACTTGATTTTTTACTGGACCCAGTTCAATATGACGTTACGTCAGGTCCATGCACCCTCGAACATTTTGTTATTCCGAAGAGGACATGGGCGTTACAAGGACTGATAAAATGTCATCTGTTGTCTTTGTTACTGGTGGTGACCCGGTTGAGATAGTTACTCTGTAAACGTTCAACATCACAATTCTGGAACATTTACTTTAAATCTTTCCGCAACGTACATACTTTACTCACTATTTTTTTTCCATGAGTTATGATTGAAACACCTCCATTTTTTTTAATTGTTAAATTTTCCAACTTGAATACTGTTGAATCACCCTTAGGATATGTGGCCTTCTTTTTAAATTTGTCTTTTGACGTCCTATCTGTGATATGCAGGCTTCATAACCTCAGATCCCTTTTCAAATTTCCATTTTATTTAGTTCCGCCCATTGTTTTCTCGTTTAGGGCAAAAGCATTCTTTTACTTGGGGACCATCGCCGCTTTTCATGGAATGGTACTAATGTGTCACATTGAAGATTCCATGATAACCGCCATCAAATGATGTAAACAGTCACAGATTAGGTACAAAATCAGCCTTGACAATATAATTGTACTCTATTAAAGTTGAATATCCGACGCTCTAATAATTGTTTCTTGGTATGTGCTCGTTGTTTAATAAGTTGCATATTTTTGTGAAAAACATATATTTATATAGTAATGCCATGTCTGACATTTTGAATACGCCAATGTTTGTCTGTTGCGACAAAATTGAAAGGTTTGGTCGAAGCAAATAAATTCTCATTAAAAATACCGAAAACCACCTTGCCTATAGTGTCAAGAAATGCCCTCCGACTAAGCACGGATCATTATTGTCAATTGAGGTACTTGAACTGAGGCATAATAACACGTTTGTCCACTGAATTTTATCTTCAAATCATTCCCTTTTTACTCTTTACATGTAAGTTTACACACTTATATTCGTGTTTGTTGGGCACTATCTACAATGACTTATATTTTAAGCAAAAGGTCAAAACTGACAGCATGACCCGGTTTAATACTGTCATGTGAAGAGGCACGTAGACAACGTTCCTTTTGAGCAACTAATTACCCCTATCAGAAAAATCCTAAAAGAGCAACTTTGGTCACATAACTCCTTCATGCCTTTATATTTGGTAGTATACTAGTTAACTTCCCTGTTTTATCTTTTTCCACTTTCCCATCACCGCTTTGGGTTCGAATCCCGACAGGGACTTTGGATAATTTCATGTTAGGAAGCTATCCAGCTAGCTTACGGAACGTCGGTGGTTCTACTCGGGTGCCCGTTCGTGTCCGAAATAATGCACGGAAGGGCACCTGAGGTCTTCCTCCACCAATAAATTGGGACGTCGCCAAATGACCTATACTGTGTGACGTGAAAACCCAAACAAACAAATATATCTTTTTCAAGAAGCCCCAATTATGAGACAGTAATTTGCGATTATCTTTGGGTAAGGAGGTTTTTCGAAGTAATGAAATAAATTACACTTGTTTGTCCCGGCCATTTAAGTAATATATTTTGTAATTATTATGTCAATATTTTGTAATTTTATGTCTAGAAGTCTGCGTAATTTTGTATCATCCATCATGAGTTTTATTTTAACAGCTATATATTTGTTCGTAAAAACCTTATAAAAGTTCAGTTAATCTTACATATGTATCTTATTTTGTCTCTAAATTTCATAAGTACATTATTAAAACACAATGACGTTGCAGCTTTCTGATACCAAGAAGTTTGCTACTCACAGGGTATATATTCCGTATATTTATACAAGGTTTTATTTGTTAAAACCTTTCAAGCGTAATCACATTTAATTTAAATGGCTAAAAATAACATACACTTTATATGTAAAACTATTCTCATTTAGATCTTACATAATTACATAATTTTATGACTTGTATGAGGATTTATATCGCTGTTTTCTAGTTTTTTTTATGCGTTTTAATGTTTTGAATTTACTGTGTCATCAATAGGCGGATACATCACTTACTGCCAATATCTTACCTAATATTATAACGCAAAGAAATATTGAAGAAAATTCATGAACATCAATCGAGTCTTGTCAACCAAACTCTTCAGGGATTAGCAATTATCACAATAGGAGTACACTTTTGGGTACATGAAAGTTACTCTGAATAATTGTTATTCCTATGATTATTTTGTTTTGCGGCAAACAGATTGTTTTGACTGAACATAACCAAATAACATCAGCTGTCGCTTACTTTTATTGATATATAAACTATATTGATATATAAACTATATAGTTAGTTTCATTATTTAAATAAAATGATTTTGTAATATACTTGATATTGTAAGTAAGTAATTCAACAACATTGATATTATCTCAATCATTATTATTATTATTGGCGTGAAATATTTCATGCGACTAAACATTATTGTTCAAGGACATGTGAAAATTATATACAATCAGTAAATGTGATAAAAAATTAACTCACTGATTAGTTTCAAATTGGCGTAAATGGATATGACGTAATGATGTACATTTGAACGTTTGAACGTAATTTAATCCGTAATGTTCGATGATTATGTAAATCTATTCATCAATTTTCAATTTTATCATTATTTTAACTAAAAAACTTTGTATTGATCCTTTATAAATGAGTGTTAATTAAGACTAAAACCTAATATAGTCAAAAGTACAATCACAAATGTCACTGTCACGTGTCAGACTTTTTTTTATATAATTATAGGTATTATGTACAAGTATCAAAGTTTGGTACAGTTCAAATTATATTGTTTCTCCACAGAAAAGGATTGATTATAAGCGCCATTTTTCAACTGCTCTACGTCAGATTTTGTGCTTTTGTCCTTCGTCATATACTTCTTCTTCTTGTCATTAACAACACCGAATCGCAAAAGTTTAATATATTGCGGGAAAAAAAGGGAAAAATAATGTAAAAAAGGGGAAAAAAGTCGGTGTCGATAGCCGAGGGTTTTTATATACCGGTTAAAAAGCGACCAAAAAGGGAAACACCGACGCATTTAATTTCCAAGTCCGTGTCCCACAGGAAAGCATTCGATAAAAGTCGAAAAGAATTGTTTCCCTCTTATTTTGTAGTAAAAACCTTAATGATTGGCGCTAAGTTTTTACCGGGGAGACTTCCCTACCCCGTCCATACACCCCGATGTGTATGTCGACAGAGTTTTTTCCCGGATGGTTCTCATCAAGGCACCAACCCTACCCAACAAATAAACTAAAAACAAAAAAGCCAAAGGGGGGGAAACCATATTTGTTTGCCACAAAAATCATTCCTGGGGCAAGAGAAAAGATTTCCCGATAATATACATTGTTTTTGAACGGAACCCTAGATCAAACGGGGAAAATTTTTAGAAATAAAGTACGGCTACTCCAAACCTGTATAACTCCAAAACAAAAACCCTAATGTTTAGTATAAAATGCGTGCTTTTAAACAAATAGATTCAACAAAATGGTTTGTAAATTTTCCAGAGAAAGGTGACCTGGCATTGAATGGTGAGAATATTAATTCCCCCCTAAAACCAAGCCATGAGCCCCCTAGACCCCCGGGTCCTTCCAAAGGGTCTCCCCCCAAAACAACGGTAATAACTGTCATTTTTGTTCCCCAAAATTCCAAACTTCCCCGGGGGTGGCTTTGGGCTGTAAAATGCAAACATAACCCGCATTAACAGTCAATGCAAAATAAAAACACGTCCCGGGAAAAAGTCACCAAAATAGCTACCTGAGCTTTCCGAAGAGGGGGAAGGGGAGCATTTTTTCGGGTTTTTGCGTTGATTAACCAAAAGGGGTATCGCAACCAGAAAAACGACCCGCCCCTTTTTGCTACAGTCACACACTGTGTCATGTTTTTGGTCGAATGAAAACATCGAAATTTTTTTGTTTTTTATCGTTACATATCTCAAGGTTTGGGGAATCCCCCCGGTAGCTTTAACCTTTAATGAGACAGCAAGCAGTCAGCTTAATTTAAAAATTAATTGAAGTTCATAGTCCCAAATCCCGTTTTCAAACGCCAAGGTTTTATCAATATGCACACGGCCCTGTGCCGATATACAACCCCATAAAACTCCTCCAGACTGAATGCTAAAGATGGTGCGGGACGAAAAACCCCATAAAACAAAAGTTTTATAGGAAAAAATGGTTTTTTTGGTCTTTTTAAATCTCACTCTAAGTACTGGAAACAGCTGGTTTTGTTCAGCTTGTAGAAAACTGGTAAGAAGATATGTGCACGCACTGGCAGTTGCAATGAGCATTGGCAACTATAATCCAGTAATTCGTATAGATTTCCGAAGGCGTCCCTAAGAAGCCGTTAAAGCGGACAGAAATGTC